TGTAACTTTTCCTTTATCAGCAATGCCTGTGGGTAGAAAGAATTTAGAGGGATGGCCTGGAATGACAGTGCCTTTGTCCCTGTTCTTAATACTGTCAAAAAGAGCAAGTCTCAGGAAGCCACCAGTTTCCTAGAGCAGGGGCTGAGGTGGCTGCTAGTCCTGGAGGTTAGGGAAGGGGGCAGAGGGAGTCACAGGGACAGGCTGCGGGTCAGAGGGCAGGTGTGTGGCAAGAGGGTGGACGGCAGCAGGGGCTGTACCAGGGCGAATGCTGGTTTCAGGGCGTGGAATTTCAGGAATGGCTTCACGTGTCCAGGAACCCCAAGTTTTTGTAACTCCCAGTAGACGTTTGCCTGTATAGTTCCGTAAGGGGCCAAGTTAGCTGGGTATTTTTTAGGGGGAAGGACCGAGGAGCCTTTTCTGTTGAGGGGAACTTGTTCCAGGGAGACCCTCCCAGGACAGCGGGGGTGGAGGGGCGTGAGTCTGAAGTATCTGGGTGTCTGGGTAAGAATCGCCTCCATGTCTAGCAACCATGACAGCGGCCTCAGCACCTCCTGGATGGGTTTGGCAGACTCGACAAAATACAGTTGCAATGCCCTCTGATAAGGGGGAGCGCCCTGTGCAAAGAATTCTCTGGACTTGGGGTCAATCGGGGCCTTTTCAGGGTTGCAGGTGAAGAAGGGGTCATTTCGGTCAATGTGGTCATGGAAATGATAAGCCCATTTGTTACATTGTGACTTATGTTAAGAAATACGTATCTGGTCCCCATCCCCCTTCCTGGCCTTTCTGCACAGGGCTCCTAAAACCCATGAAATTTCCTGAGTGACCAGAGCCGTCAACTTTTGTGTCTTTTGTTCTGTTAATGAGGTGACTTTTCCAAGTAACCTAAGGTTGGGGTCTGGTTATCTGTGGAGCCAACCAAGTGATTTAGAGGGATGGAACTTTCAGTCCTAACCACTGGACCACTGACCTCCAGGGAAGGAGGGGGGCTAAGGATTGAGTTCAGTCACCAATAGCCAATGATTGAACAGTCAATCATGCCCATGGAACGAAACTTCCATTAAAAACCCAAAAGGACCCGGTCAAAGAGATTCCGGGTTGGTGAGCAGGGGGGATTCAGGAGAGCGGTGCCCCTTTCCTCATACCGCGCCTGCACATCTCTTCCCTGAGCTGTCCCTCAGTTACATCCTTTTAAAAATAAACTGGTCATCTGGCGAGTAAATGGTTTTCCTGAGTTCTGAGCTGCTCTGGCAAATTTTTTGAACCCAAGGAGGGGGATCCCAGAAACCTCTGCTTTATACTCAATCAGAAGCACGGGTAACCCCCTAAGCATACAACTGCCCTCTGTAATGGGGGTGTGATCTTGTAGGACCAAACCCTTAAACTGGAATCTGATGTTACCTCCAGGTGGTGTCAGAACTGAGTTCCTGAACACCCAGCTGGTGTCTGAGGATTACTTGTTAGTGTGCAGACTCACCCTATCGCACACACATGGTGGAATTGGGTGCAGGACACACTCATCATTGGGCCCTGGCGAATCTTACACAGCAGCTGGGACTTATTACTGTCTTCCATTCACTGTGAGCCTTGGCAGTGATCGCTGCGATGGAAGAGCGGGCGCAGCACCAGGCAATAAATACCCAAGTGGGCGGAGGGAGGGCGCTGGTCCAAATGCCTTCCCTCCCTCCCTCTTCACTAGAGGCCTTGATGACCCTTGGTGACAGGGACACCTTATGAGGCACGTTTCTTGGTTCTACCCATTCAGGGAAAGCTGAGGGGCCCAGGACCTGTCGTGTCTCAGAGCAAACATGCAATAGCCTGGATGGATCTTTAAGAAAGTTGTGGATTTTAGATCTTTAGAGAGAGTGGCTGCTTGGTGCATTTTGGCAGCTGTAACAACTCAGAGCACATTCCAGACACCTGCAGTGGCCAATCAGCAACTTTGTTGCTGCATAAAATCTTTTAAGAAAGGTTTGAATTTCAGCAGTATAGTTTTTGTGATTTCATCCCGTTACCTTAATCTTATGCGTTGTTATAGGAAACCTCTGTGGATGACATTGCTGTAGCCCTCTTTGCAGGCAGAGCTTTCCCTTCCAGGGGGGTCCCACCCAACCTCTCTGGGCTGGGGGTCTTGCCTCCCCTGGTGCAACACTCACAGGGTCTTTGGGAACAGCCCCTCAGCCTCTGGAATGTCCAACCAGAGCCTGGGCCTGCTGGTGTGCCCTGGCACTGAGCAGCGCCCAGGAGACTTCCAGAAGGGTTTTGCATGTGTCAAGGAGCTAGCTGCTGCATGTCCTCAAGGGTTCTTAGGTGCTGGCGCCAGATATTCAGGATTTATACTTGTCCACTAAGATTTTAGCAACATTGCATCCTGGTTAGACCCACGATCTCCTATGGCGGGGGTGAGGGGGGAAGAACGACAGCAGCGACACAGAGACCAAAGGCTTCTGTTGCTTTTTCCCCTTCATGGTGCTGTTGATTTCCGGTCACAAGGCTCTCACTAGCCTGGGTTAGGGCTCGTAGTCTAGGCACGACCCACCAACTCGGCTCAAAAATGGGGCAGAGGGGTCCCAGGTTACCGCTCAGCAGGAAGAGGCAAGGCAGAGACCAGGTGTAGTCGAAAGACTGTTAAGTGGGCCCACTGAACTGTCCACTGTACTGTGGTCAGCAGGATGGGAGAGGACAATCAGGTAACCAGTTGAGCCGGATGAGGCCAGGGGATGGCACAGGCTCCTGACTGCCCAGGCCAACTGCCTGAGGGCGGGCTGGGGAGAACAGGGCTGTGTTGGTCACCGGGCTGAAGAGAATGAAGACACTGCAGCCAGAGGTGGCTAATGTGATGGGGCAGTGGGGAGAGAGAGCGAGGTGGGGGGGTGGCTGGGACTGAACCTTCGGCCATATCCCACTAAGGCCCGGGACCCCGAGGACCGGACCGCCGGGCGGGGCTTCTTGGTTTCCTGCCTCTGCGGGCTTTGTGCCTCCAGCCTAGAATGCTGCTCCCTTACACCCACCGTGACTGACGAGCCCTCAGACTTACCAACAGTGTCACCAGTTAGATTTGTCCACGTGAGACATATACCAAGTGGATAACCCTCAACTTTATTCAGCATAAAACAAAGTGAAAAAGTAAAAATATTTAAGCACTTCAGTTATGAAAAATATCTATGGAAATGGAAAGAAAACCTCTGGAATGAAAACAGCAGTGGAGTAAGAACAGGTCACAGGGCCAAGCGCAGTGGGTGTGGGCTCCAGGGTCGGGCAGGTGGAGGTGCGAATCTGGGGCCCCCACCGCAAGCTGGGTTTTCTTGTGCAAACCCGCTGGCCCCTCAGCGAAATGACTTGTCAAGAGGATAAATGAAATGTGGTCAAGCCAGAAGAATCTGTCTTGAGAGGGAGTTTCATCTACAACCATTTTGGTTTATACATTTAAGATAAATGAGCAGTTCCAATCTGGATTTCTAGGGCCGTAGAGGCAAACAGTCCCTGAGAGGACAGCCGTCCCTGAGCTGTCCCCTGCTTCGTCGCAGTGGTGTGCTGACTTGCTCAAAGCGCTATAGCTTACCATTTATAGGAATTACAACCTTGGCATTCCTTGTGTTTCTTTCCATTTTTTTCTTTGCTATTTTTTCCTTTTTTTTTTTTTTTAAATATAAGGTTTCCACCGCGTAACCAATTTATGTCAAATAGGTGCTTTTGTTGAGAACACAGGCTCAAGATCACAGCCAGAGCTAGAGCCTGCCTTATGTTGTGCTGTGTTACCTACTGTTATTTAACAAGCTGTCCATCGTAATGGGTTATGGTGTTGCGGACTAAGGAATGCATGAAAAAAATTTCCACTAGGATTAATGGTAATTATATTTTTTACTGAGAAGTTTATTCTAGAGGCCCATAAAGTCTCACTCACACACACACACACACACACACACGCACGCACGCGCGCACGTGTGCCCAGTTCTTAGGTCTTTATTTCACAATATTTGGCATATAGTCTCTCTCCTCCTACTTTCCTCATCTGACCTGGAAGTGCTGTTCCTCCACCTCCATTCTTTTCCGTGGAATAACACTGACGACAATATGTTCTCACTGCCGTTTATTCAATCATTCCCTTACTGATGGTCATTTACATTGCTTCCTTTTGTCTTTACCAAAGAAATACAATATACATTGATAAACATAATCTTAAGTACTGGCACCTTATTTTTCTCTTAGGGACAGGTTCCCAAAAATGAGAACCTGCTGGGTTGAGGAGTGTGTATAGTCTTAATGTGAAAGGACAGAGGCACGACGATTTCCAAGGAGGCTGTCACAATGTGCATTCCAACAGCAGAGTACTTTTCCGCTCTACTGTTAGTAGATAAAATAACACAACTTGAAGACTTATCTGACTATGGATGTTCTATTTTGTTCAGAATTTGTTCAAAAAGTCACATTCATATATAGTTACAACATGTCAACAATCTTCAAAAATTAATTTTAAAAAGCCCATTATGGCTGTCATTTACAATTCTGAGGCATGATTTGTGATGGACAGGAAAAGGACGAAATTGTGACTCTGAAATTAAGCCTAAAATGGTTTATCTTTGAGTTATAGAAAGATAAATTTTTATGGGTTAAACATATATGAAGAGATCACTGCACAGGTCTAATTTATGTAAGTGTTTGTGAACCTTAAAAGTAAAGGTATATCTTACACTAAGTCAGATTCCCAAGGGAAATGCTTTAGGTTGATGACGGTGCAACTCAAGGAAGCAGACATGCCCCCCTAACAGAACGCTGCGAAAAGTTACTCTAAAGTGGACTATGCGCACAGAAGTTTTAAAAAGCAATGAGATGTGTGACAGTTTCTTAAAATAAATTATTTTTCCTTTCAAGTCTCTGAAAGGTAACTAACATTTAGGCACTACATATACATCCTACAATTTTTTACAAGATAATTCATAAAATATTGAGAAACTAGGGAAACACATGAAAATACAGGTGGTTTCTGGATTATACATTTTGGTAACTGACATGCATTTGTATGTAAACACCCCACTGACAAACAGCATGATGGATGTGGATATCCTCTGTAGCCCATTTTTATCCTGTGGTACATACTGAGTAAGAGCCCACAGCCCTACCTTTTACTCTCTAGACCTCTTCCCTAATTATCTCTTATTTGCATATTTATGTAAGTAATGGTCCTAGGAAATCTTCAGCAAGTCCAGAAGCACGTTAAAACTTCAACACTGTCTTCTGCTAATCAAGAGGCAGCTCAATAACAATGATCATACCAACTTATATAAGCAAGCAAGCAGTAGGAGAAAACATGTTACATGCTACTTTAAAATCTGTTCCGTATTTCATTTGGAATGCATACTGAGTTGTAAAGATGCTGAAAAACACATGTGATATTTAATATGGAAAATCTTGTTTGATGTGTCCTCATTATTACAGAGGATAAGAATTGCAAACTTCCAGTGACTAACGTTAAATTCATATGTGTAGATCTAAAGTATATTTTTGTGTGTGAATTTTTTTTTTGTGGCATAATCACACACAACACCACTAAACTCCTAGGTTCTGTCTGTAGATCTTTTCTGCTGCTTCCCAGAATGTTTCATTCTTGAATAATTCATTCCAGATTTTAAAAAGCTCAATGTAATGTAGTTAAGTATGTCTATTTACAATTGGATATATTCTGCTATGTATTCTTTAGTTGAGTATCACACCTAATCTTCAGTGTATTTATTATTGTTCTTAGGGGACCCTATTTTCACACATTTTTGAGTCGCTAGATTGTATCTCAGTATGAATTCCCACGCTCCGCACTACCTTAGGTGGCTCTCCTCGACTGGAGGGTTCTGCTGGAAGGGTTCTGCACAGTTCAACTGGCTGTGACCTCAGGGTTTGTCACCTATGTGCACTCTTAGGTGGACACTGAGTCGGGACTTTCTGCTGAAGGCTTTCCCACACTGAGAACACTCGTATGGTTTCTCTCCCGTATGGATTCGCAAGTGTAACCTGAGAGTTGACCGCTGGCTGAATGTTTTGCCGCATTCCGTACACTCATAGGGTTTCTCTCCTGTGTGAGTTCTCATGTGTATAATGAGTTGCGAGTTCTGGATAAAGGATTTCCCACATTCGCTGCATTCGTAACGTTTCTCCCCTGTGTGAATTTTCTGATGTATTATGAGGTTTGATTTCTTAAAGAAGCTTTTTGCACATTCATTACACTCATAGGGACGCTCCCCTGTATGGATTCTCTGGTGGGTAGTGAGTTCAAACTTCTGGGCAAACGTCTTGCCGCATTCACTGCATTCATATGGCTTCTTCTCCATATGTGCTCTCTGGTGAACAATGAGGTTTGACTGGTGGGTGAAAGCTTTTCCACATTCAAGACATTCAAAGGGTTTCTCCCCCGTATGAATTCTCTGATGTTTAATGAGGTTTGCCTTATGGGAGAAGGTTTTCTTACATACATTACATTCATAAGGTTTTTCTCCAGTATGTATTCTCTTATGACTAACAAGGAGTGACTTGAAGGAGAAAGTCTTGTCACAGTAATTACAAATGAAAGGTTGTACCAAATTTCTAATTTTCTGATGTTTAAAAATGGCTTCTTTATGGCCAAAGGCTTTTCCACTTTTGTTATAGTCAACGTATTCCATTCCAGGATGGGTTTTCTCTTGCTTTAGATAGAGAAGTGCTTTTCCAAATCCATCATACTCATCAGCTTGCTTCCTTATATAGCTATTACTGTTAAGTAAGTCTGAGCTATATTTCAAAGTTTTTTCATATAAGTCGAATTTATAGGGTACTTGTCTCAAAGAAACAAAGTCTGTGCTCAGACTGAATGACTTGCCAAAGAGATCACTTCTTTCCTCAATCGGGGTTTGGTTCTTAAAGATTATAAATGGCCTCGCCTGCTCCTCGGGGTCACTGTGCTCCCTCTCCATCTGGTCGTCAGCCTTCCACACCTCTAGGAAAGAGCACACAAAACACACTTTGTCAGCCCTGTCACTATAATGTTACAGAATGTGATGCCGCCTCAAATGTTCCATTGTAGGGCTGCCTTTTTAGTTTGGGATGCAGTCTCCCAGCCTTAAAAAGTCCCCAGTGCACATTTTTCCTAGCTCCTAAACCCTGAAAGAAAAAGTAAATAAAAAGAAGTGGAAACTGACAATGAACACAAGTAGCATTACCAGATTACAGAACGACCTTAAAAAGGGGGTAAAACGAAATAAAATACACAGGACAGCCTACAGGAAACCCATGACGTGGGAAGGGTGGCAGTTCCAGGGATGAAGGGGATATGCAGTGTCCTCAAGGACACTAGACAGTTGGCACAGGAACTGAGAAAAACAAACACATGAAGAAGCTGAAGGAAGACATAGGCAGGTCTGAGTTTAGCAATCCAAACTGTGACTCTAAATTACCGCGGTCCGGCCCTGCCTGCCTGCTTCTGGGCTCTCACCCTCCGTTCCCCGGTCCCCATCGGCACCAAGCTCCGCTCTACCGGTGCGTTCCTCACAGTGTCACGGAGACAATCCCGCTGCAGAGCGCCAAACCGCTAAAGCAGCGAGACTCAACGGGTGGGCCTCAAGGACTTGTGAAACGTGCAATACCTGACCACTGAGTCAGGGGCAATGACCTCTTCCCCCTTAGACTGTCAAATAAAAAAATGACAACAGCCAACACAATAGCCACCCTGTCCGAATGAATCAAAATTAAACCTATTTTTTTGGTCATACTGGCAAAAAATACATTTTTTGGTGTGCTGCAGAATTTTATTAGTTCACGTGTGCCATGCAATGAAAAAGGCTGAATCCCTGCTTTAAAGCACAACTTTTGCAAATGAATGGCAAGATCCAGAAACTCGTGTATTCTGTAGGAAATATAAAATTGATCCAAGATCTTTTTGATAGGCAATGCAACCAGCAGTATGATTGACTTTTTTTTTTTCCCTATTGAAGCTATTGGAGAGAGAATGTGTTCATCATTCTATCTTACCTTCCTCCTTTTAACATGCTTAATTTCTCTCCCAAACCAGTCTTGTCCCTACTTTTATTTGAAGGGATACTAAGGATCAAATTACCCAGCCTCCTCCTAGGCCTTCAATAGCCTTTACTTCCCTCTGTGCGTCCCTGGTCATCCCCCACTCTTGTGATCCTGCTGCCATCTGTGTACAGGACGATGACGACACTCCTGTACCGAGCAAGTCCATTTCCCTTGAGGCCACTACACCCTTATCATGAGCTGAAAGAATATTCTGACATCTGAGGTATACAGGTCATCTATTTGTAGCCTCTATTCTCTAAAGGTTTAGGAATTTGGGGGCAGGGGAAGGTCTAAAAATATTTCATAGGTCCTAACTCGTTCATAATCCTCGGGATGTTACTTCTAGTGGCTTCCGGTCCTCCCTCCCTCCCTCCACAGCTTCCCAGAAAGTTCTCAACCGGTAATTCTAACTTTACAGGCCACAACTCTTGTTGCTCCAACTTAAAAATCATAGCTGGTTTGGTATCAGAGAGCCTCCTAATGGAACATAATTCCTAACTGCTTGGACGTTAGAAACTCAGAGTCGTCACTATCTCTCAGCTTTTGAAGCTTGGGGCCAAAACCACACAGTGATTTAGAAGCTCTGAATTTCTGGTAACCAAGAAGGACATGAACACTACGAGGTGAATACAGGGTTGCTCCCGAAAGCGGCCCTTACCCACTGACAGTAAGTTGCTGTAGTTCTCCAGCATCACATCCATGTACAGGATCCTCTGAGATGGGTCCAACTGCTCCCACTCTTCCTGGGTGAAGTCCACAGTCACATCCGTGAATGAGACCGGTCCCTGAAATGGCATATTGCTATTCATTCTGGAATGATGAGCATTTGGTGATGTAGAAAGGATGCATGAAAAAAAAGTTATTCTTATCATATTGCTGTAAGAGAGTCATTCAGCATGAAAATTTACACATGACACCAGCTGTACATTTTTACTCTGTTTTGTCAGATACTTGTATGATGGTCAGAGCCCATATTCGGATCCCCCTGCATCTCTGGCACTGTCACACGTGGCAGGTATCTACGGCTAGTAAAGCACCGTGTCTCCTTTAAAGATGCGCAGTTGGGTAAGTGCTTCATAAATGTTAACGTGCAGTATTTACTGTTGTAGTGTGGTGCCGATGCTCCTAAACGTGCTGTTTTTACGGTATCAGACTAGACAGTATTAAAGAATAAGGTAAACTTTTTTTGAGATGATGATTCTTAAGAAATATATTTGGTCACTATCCATAGTTCCTGGCTCCCAAACCCCTAGAATTATGTAAGAATTGCGAGTAATAAAGGATTTTGTTATGTATGTTAATGAGGTGCCTTTTGAGAATTATGTAAGGATGAGTGTTGGTCAACAGTTCGCCTGCCGTGATTTGAGGGCTGGAACTTAAGAGTCCCACTCTCTGACCTCCCCGACCCCCAATAGAGGAGAGGGGTTGGAGGTCGACAAATGTCACAGTAAATGATGTAACCTATCACCATTATCTAATAAAGACTCTCTAAAAATCCAAGGGGACAGGGTTCCAGGACACCGCTGGGTTAGCGAACACACAGACCTGTGAGAGTGGCCCCAGGAGAAAACATGGAAGCTCCCGTAAGTAAAAATTCACTCACTCAGTCCCTGTCTTTAACTCCTCTCTGCCACCCCCACTCTCGCTCCTCCTTCACTCTGCCACTCTCCCCCCTCCGCTCTCCCCCTCGCTCCTCTCTCCCCTCTGAGCCCCTCTCACTCCTCTGCTCTCTCACTCTCCTCCACCTCTCTGTCTAGTCACCTCTCTGCTCCTCTCCGTCTCCCCCCTCCTCTCTATCACTCATCACTACACTCCCTCTCTCTCTCACACCCCTTTCTCTCTCCTGCCTTGTCCTCTCTCCTCTCACTGTAGCTTGTCTCTCTCCTTCCTTTCTCTTACTCCATCTCTTTCTATCACTCCATGTCTCACTCTCTTCTCTCTCACTCTTCCCTTTGCCTTTCTCTCTCTCAATCCAGTCTCCTGTTTTAAGCTACTCCCTTTAGCTCTCTCCCTCTATTCTCTCTCCTCTCTCACTCATTCTCTCCCTCCCTCCGCTCACTCCCCTTCCCTCTACTCTTCCATTTGCAGGCACCACTGACTCCTCCACCATCTCCTGCTCCTCTGCTCCTCTCTCCGCTTTCCCTCAAACGTTCACTACCCTCCTCCTCGGCTCCGTCTTACTCCTCCCTACCCGCCCTCCAGCCCCTCCGCACTCTCGTCCTGCCTCTCCCTCCTGCGGACTCTCTAGTTTGTTTCTCCTCTCACGCCTACTCACTCCGCCCTCTAATCTGTCCCACCTCCTCTCTCGGTCTCTCACTGCTCTCCCTCAGGCCTTATTCTCCTCTTCCCTCTCTCCTCCCTCCCTCACTATCACACCTCTCCTCAACTCCTCTGACCTCTGTGTCTGTCCTCTTCTTTCTCTCTCCTCTCTCTATTGCTATTCTCTCACTCCACTCTCTTGGTTCTCCCTTTCTCTCTAACCCCTCTCATTCTCTTCACTCACTCTGCTCTCTCTCCTCACTCTATCGATTCACTCAATCCTCCCACCTGTCTCTCCACTCCGATTACACTCTTTCTCGCTCCTCTCTTCCTCCTCCCTAACTCCTCTCTCCCACACTACCCTGTCACGCTCCCTCATCTCTCTCACTCCTTTAATCATCTTTCACTCTCTCTGCCTGACTCTTCCCTCTACTGTAATCTCTCTTCACTCCACTCTAAGTTTTTTCCTACTCTTATTCTCACTCCTCTCACTCATTTCTACTCATCCCATCCCTCAACCCGCAGTCTCTCCATTTTCACTCCTCCCTGTATTCCCTAGGTCTCCCCCACTTTCCTCTCTCTGCTCTCTTTAATCACTCAACTGCTTTCTCTTTCCATTCTCACCACTCCTTCCCTGTCTTCCCTCACTCTCCCCTCTCTTTCCTCTCACTCCCTTGTCTCTTCAGTCTCACTTCTCCCTGTCAACACTGTCTCCCCCTCTCTCTTTCCTTTGTCCTATCTCTATTCTCTCTCCCCTCCCTGTCTTCTCTTAGACTCCCTGCCTTTCTTCTTACATCTCTATTCTCTCACTCCCCTCCGTCTCTTCACTCCTTGCCCGTTTCCTTCAATCTTTTTCTTCTCTCTCTTGTCTCTCACTCCCCTGTCTCTCCACTCTCACTCTTCCCTCCCTGTATTCATTTAGTCTCCCTTCCTCTTTTTCTTCATTTTTCTCTCTCTCCCACTCCCGTCTCCGTTCTCACTCCTCCCTGCGTTCCCTCAGTCTTCCTTTCCTTTTCTCTCTCTATTCTCACTCCCCTTTGTCTCGCCACTCTCACTCTTCCATCACCGTCTTCACCCAGTCTCCCTCTCTTTCCTCTCACTTCTACTAACTCTCACTCCCCTATGTCTATCCACTCTCAACCCTCCCTCTTCGTCTTACCTCACTTTCCCTCTCTACTTTCTTTGTATACACTTTCTCCTCTCTCTCTCCTCCCTCTCTCCCTCCCCTCCCTCTCTCCTGTCACTTCTCTACATTCTCTTTTACTCCCGTCTCTCCATTCTCATTCCTCCCTCCCCTTCTTCCCTCACTCTCCCCGTCTCTCTCTCTCTCTCTTCTGACTTCTGGACCTACTCTCATACTCCCTCCCCGCTCTCTCCCTCTCTCTTTCCTCTCACTTCTTTCTGTTCTCTCATACCCTTCTATCTTCTCTGATGCCTCACTCCCTATCTCCCTCCCTCTGTCTCTTTCCTCTCAATCCAACTCTTTGCTCTCAATCCTGTATCTCTACCGTCTTACTCCCCTCTTTCTCCGCCCTCTCACTACTCTCTCTACTCACCCCGTCTCTCTTTACTCTCAATCCTCTATTTTTCTCACTGTCCTCTCTCTCCCCTCTCTTATTCCTGTCTTTCCACTCTTAGTCCTCCCTGTTTTCTCTCTCTACTCTCACTTCTCTCTCCACTGTCTCTCATTCCCCTTTCTCTTCCTGTCCCTCCATCCTCCTCCCCATCTTTCTTTATCCTCCCTCTCTTTACTCTCACTGCTCTCTCCACTCTCACTCCTGTTACTTCCCTCACTCTGTCTCTTGGTCCCCTCTCTCTACTCCTCCTTTCATTCCTGCGTGTCCACTCTCACTCCCCCTCTCTAATCTCTCTCACTGTCTCATTCTTCTCTCTCCACTCACGGCCCCATCTGCCTTCCCCTCCCTTTCTCTTCCTACTCTCTCACTCCTCTCTCTACTCTCCCTCTCTCCTACCCTGTGTATTCTCATTCCTCCCCCGTATACTTTCTCCTTACTCTCTCTCTCTCCTGTCTCCCTCACATTCACTACGTGCCTGTTTTCTCACTGCCCCCTCTTCACTCTCGCTTTCTCTCTAATCTTTCACTTCCTCAATCTCTCTCACTCCTTCCTCTCTAGTCTCTCCTCTTTTCACTCACTCCCTCTTTCCCTTTCTTACTCATTTTCTTCTCTTTCTCCCTCCTCTCACCCTCCATTTCTCGTCTCACACAGCTCTCTCTCCACTCTGCTATCTCCTTTTCTTCTAATCACTCTCTCTCTCTCCCCCCTCTGTCTATATTGCTTGCCCCTCTCCCACTCTTTCTCACTCTTCATTCTCTCCTTTCTGCTCCTCCTCTTTCTCACTCCTCCGTCCTCTTCTTCTCTCCGCTCTCTCTCACCCCTTATTCTCTTCTCCCACTGCCCCTCCCTCTTTGTTCATGTCTATGTCTATTCTCTTTCCTCCCACCTGTCTCTCCACTCCTTCCTCTCTCATTCTCCTCTCACTCTCCTTTTTCTCTCTCTCTCCTGTGCCTCCTCTCACTTTCACTCCCTCTCTGTGCTTTTCCTGTTACCCTCCCCAAACTGACCCCCTCAATATCTTTTTGTCTTTAGCTGAAGGTGATGGCTTCCTGATTTTGACAAGTTACTCAGTTTTCTTGGGTCTCTCTCACATGTACAGGAGATATACATGTTATTAAACTTTAATTTGTATTTCTCCTGCTAATCTGTCTCGTGTCAATTTGATTATTAAACCAGCCAGAAGAACCTAAAAGAGTAGACAGCAATTTTCACTCCCCAACACCTGAAAGGGCGAAACCAATGTAGCTTTTGGAACCTGACGAGCTTGCATGGAAGCCTACAAACCTGAGTGAACTTGCCCTGGGAGGTATTTTCATACAATATCATGATGGACTGGACAGTTATTAACAACTTAATGGGATTCAATTAAAGTGCTAGTATATGCTGACCTTTATGATTATTTTACTATAAGAGAATGTGTCTGAAGATCAGGGGGTAGACTGCAATATTGTGATTTATAGGCAATATATACTTGGTTATTCAGATGATCAAAATGTATTTCTCATATGTATTTGATTTTTGTTCACAGTTCCTGGCTCACAGCTTCCAAAACCTCTGGAATCTCCTGAGCGCAGAGAGTGAGGAAGATGTGTTATGTCAGTAAGGGGACACCGGGAAAGCACCGAAGGACGGGGCTGATTACCAGGAGACCCAGCCTTGTGACTAGAGGGCTGGAACTTTCAGTGCCCCTGCGACCTCTGCAGAGAGCAGACTGATTGTCAGTGGATTCAGAGAACTGGGCCGGCGAACACATGGAGCTGCTCGGAGAGGGGCCCCTGGAGAGGGCGTGACAGCTCTGGGCCCTGTCCCCAACCTTGCCCTTGACATCTCTTCCACCTGGCTGTTCCTCACACACACTCTTTCACAATAAACTGGCAATTTACTAAGTAAAATGTTTTTCTGAGTTCTGTGAGCTGCTTTAGAAAAGTAATTGGACCCAAGACGGTGGTCTGGGAGTCTGTGTTTCATAGCCCGTCAGAAGCACGCCAATCCACAGCCAGCTCGTGAGGCACAGGTAACAACTAAGGCTTTCGACTGGCAACTGAGGCTGGGGCAGGGCAGTCTCGTAGGACTGACTGAGCCCTTAGCCTGTGGAATCTGACTCTGGGTAGACAGGGTCAGAATTAAGCTGAATTCGCAGATAGCCTTTGGTGTCTGAGAACTGGGTCTGGGAACGCTCTTCAGCTTCGAATATTTAAAGGTAAAAGATGGACTTCCAATTAGAAGACATAATATTAGGCATAAAGATCTCCCCACCATACCCAAGCCATAAAAATGGAAGGAAAGCAAAATAAACAAGCAGGACTACATCAGATTAGAAAAGCTGCTGCACAGAAAGGAAACCAACAAAATAAAAAGGCAACTGACCAAATGGGAGAAAATATTTGCAAAGCATTTATGTGTTAAGGGGTTAACATATGTGTTCTTTATATAATTTGGATAACTCAGGAAAAAAACAAACCACCCACTTAAAGAGGAGAGGATCTGATTAGACATTTTCCCCAAAACACACAGACGGCCAATAAGTACATGAAAAGATGTTCAAGATCACCAATCAGCGAATGCAACTAAAAACCACAATACATTTTCAAGTCACATTAGAATGGCTATTATTAAAAGGGTAAGAGATAACAAGTGTTGGCAACAGTGTGCACTGTTGGTGGGAATGTAAACTCTGCAACCACTACTGAAAACACTATGGAGGCTCCTCAAAAACTGATGACTAGAACTACCATGTGATCCTGCAATTTAACTTCTGGGTATTTAACCAAAGAAAATAACACTGACTCAAAAAGATATATGCACCCTCAATGTTCAGTGCAGCATGATTTACAATATCCAGGATAGGGAAACAGCCTGTGTCCATCAGTGGACGGAGGGGTAAAGAAAATGAAGCATATGTACACAATGGAATATTATTCAAGTAACCACATAGAAACTGCATGTCTTTAACATGATCTTTCCTCCTTTCGTTTGGATTCAGTCGGGCCTCATCCAGCACCCTGAGAGTCTCACCTGGCTCCTCCCTTGCACAACCTCTCCCTTAATCATTAAGCCCTCAGGACAGTAAAGTTCTGGTTGGCATCAAATAACCTTAGGAACAAAGCCTGGGCAGGGTGGGGAGGGGGGGTCTGTTGACTCCAGAGACAGAGTTTCATTAAACTAAAGATAACATCTAGACATCCGTTGTGTTTCAGCTACTGACCCAGAAAAGTTGTGAAACCAGACTAAGCAATGCCATGGCTGATAGCAGGACCAGATGCACTCACTGACCAACGACCGCGACTCTAGTGCTGACCAGTTAGTAGAGACTACGCTTGTGAGCCCAACCCTAACTCCCTCAGTCACCATGATTCATGCTTTTCCCCCACAGGACCCACCCCCTGGACACCATGACGGAGCCAGGTCTTTAGCATTAGCTGAGCTGTCCCCAGGTGGCCACTTCCTAAAAATAAACCCTTACTTTCTTTTTTTTTTTTTAATTGAATTTATTGGGGCTATACTGGTTAATAAAATTATGTAAGTTTAAGGCATACAATTCTATAACACATCATCTGTACATGGTATCGTGTGTTCACCACCCCAACTCATGTCTCCCATCACTATTTATTCCCCCTTTACCTTCTCCGGGCTCCCCTGCATCCCCATTTTCCTCTGGGAACAACCATACTGTTGTCTGTCTATGAGGTTTTTTTCTTTTTCTTAATCCCTTAATCTCTTTCACCCAGCCCAGCTACCGCCTCTCCTCTGACACCTAGGAGTCTATTTCTATTTGGTTTTTGTTCCGTAGATCCCACAGGTAAGTGAAATTGTCTGGTATCTGTCTCTCTCTGGCCGGCTTATTTCCCTTACACAGCACTTTCCAGGCTCACCCCTCCTGGTGCACGGATGCTACCAGACCGGTACTTTCTCGGCTGCAAACTCCTGTTCGTGTCTTACTGCGCTTTGATGTGCTCAGGCAAAGGGACCCCTTTAGAAACATTCAGCCATGAAAAAGTAAAGCTTGCCATTTGAGACAACATGGATGGATCTTGAAGGCATTATGCTGTGACATAAATCTGAGAGAGAAAGACAAATACCATATTATCTCACTTATATGTGAACTCAAACAGCTTGAGCTCAAGATACAGAGGACGGGTGGCTGCAGGTGGGAGGGTGATGGAAGGGAGTGAAGAGGTACAAACTTCTAGTTCTAAAATAAATACGTCTTGGGGATGCATAATGTACAGCCCGATGGGTATAGTTAACGACACTGTATTGCATTAATGAGAGTTGCTGAGAGTAAATATTAGAAGTTCTCATCACAAGGAAAAACATCTTGGTGATGGATGTTAACTAGATTTATTGTGATCATTTCGCAATACTATACACAAATAGCAAATCACAGTGTTGTACATCTGAAACTGTTTTATGTCCATTACATCTTGAGTTAAAAAATAAAAATTAAGATGTCAGTAAAATGATGTCCACAGCAGCATTTAAATAAGAGCCCAAAGCAAATGTTCATCAATGGATTAATCTCTTGTGGTAAATGAAAACAACTGAGTTCTTTAAAGCACTAAAATGAACTAATTGCAGCTACAAGGGAGAATTTCACAAGGGCTTCCAGGACATGGGCTAATTTCTATTTCTCGGCCTGAATGGCAGCTACATGGGTGTGTGTGCGCACACATACCTATATAAAATAAATGGCATGTACATTTAAATAGGCTTCTATATATGATACTTTATTCCCAGGAAACAAAGGAAATCTTGGAAGCATATAAATAAGGAAAGAATAACGAAAGGAACCAGAAAACCAAGCATTTAATCAACACCAGAAAGAAGCTATAAGGAAAAAATATTGAAGACCCCTGATAACTTTCAAAACCATCTCCATCCACTTTGCCAGATGGAAAGTACCTCTGCAGCACTGGCAGACCAACGAGGGTATAAACCTGAGGCACATCGCTGTGGGTTGATTCACAATGACTCAGAAGTGACCCTACCATCAAATATGAAAATATTTTTTCTCAGGATGCTGTTTTCCATACTCTATACAAACAAGTGCTCCAAAAATTGTTGATAAAACACAACTCTGATAGGGAAGCCTTAAAAAAAGATGTCAAACATGATTGACTTCAAAGGCTTACTTTTGTCATGACAGATAACAATTTCAATCTGAAATGAATTTCGTGTTCTGGGGAGAAATTCTATGGCCATGAGTAGAGATGTACCTAACTTACTTGACACCAAGAGCAGACTGTTTTTAACACTCTCCTTAACTCTTTGAACTGTTATACATCTAGAATCTTCACCTCTCAATTTACTTCTCCGTGTACAAGAATCCTCTTTTATCTGTGCATATTTTCTCTCTTTTGAATCTACATCTTTCATTTGCAGTTAGTAAATGTTGCAGGTAACCTAATCAGCATTGTTTCATGCTATCTTATAGGAGTCTTTAGTGACTTTGCATGGGCTGCAGGAATGGGTCATTTATGCCTGAGATTCATACCAAATACTAATACTAAATAACAATACTAAAGACCATTCTTAGCTGTGGGCCATACGAAAACAAGGCAGCAGGCCACAGATTGACATTCTTAAATAAAAGGATGACTACTAAATAATAAATGTTATGTGTTAGATACTATTACTACTGTCAAAGGACGCACTCCAAAAATAAAATTAAACCTAGCACAGCCTTGGCTGGTGTGGCTCAGTGGATTTAGTGCCCGCCTGCGAACTGAAAGGCCCCAGTTCTATTCCCAGTCAGGGCACATGCCTGGGTTGTGAGCCAGGTCCCCAGGTGGGGGCGTGCAAGAGGCAACTGACTGATGTTTCTCTTGCACACTGATGTTTCTCTTCCTCTCTTTCTCCCTCCCTCCGATCTCTCTAAAAATCAGTAAATAAAACCTTCAAAACAAAACAAAACCTAGCACAAATCAGTTGGATGCCAAAAGCAAAAGGGAGAAAATCAACAAAGTATGTTGTTAAAAGAAGCATATATGGAATGGAGGGAGGTGGTGTTAAGTAATAAGTTGAAACTAATTTTTAGATGCCAGCAACCTGAGAGAGTGGTGGCAGAGAGAAAGTACTGTGTTTGAGAGGAAAATACAAATGGCGATGAACTTTAAACATTTAAGTAAGCATTTAAAGAGTAAAATAAACCTTTAAAAGGATGGAAATATATTCTGACCACTAGAAGAAGAAAAGAGGGTCAAAAAGAACCAGTAATCAAAAGAAAATGAAATAAATACTTAATAAAAGATTAAGACCTTCAAAAAAGTTTATTAAAAAAAAAACAACCCATACTTTTTAAAAGTGGCAAATTCAAAGCCTAAAAATAAAAGGCACAGAAAAGCTTGCAGAAAAATAATAACTGGTTAAAACAGAATCCCAAATATATATATAAAATATATATACCGTGACCACTACATTTAGTAAATTCTACCTAATTCACACAGAAGTATTTAAAAAGGGGACTTGATACACCCACACCAAGTTTTTAATATTGACCACGCCTAGGGCGAAGAGGCTGGCTGCTATGGGCAGGAAGATCTTAGCATTTAGTGAGGTGGCCTAATATTAAGAGCAGCCGTACAGCAGGGAGGGCAAATCCACACCAGAGATAAAGAGAGAATAAGAATTCATGTATGAACTGTGTAACACAAAGAGAAAAAACTTCCGTGCACGTAACATGTGGAAGCAAATAAGATGTTAATGCAAGTATTGGGTACTGGCTGGTGTAACAGGTTGACAGTTATTAGGTTGAATCATACTGATGAAACTGATGACATTCACCTGTTTTGACATACAAAACCAGAAATTGTATACAGCTCAACCTACTATGCTTTTATATGTAGTTCTGTGCACTTTAATAAAAAGGTAAGTAAAGATCAAAAAATATCATGTTAAAGATGAGATAACAA